AAAAAAAAAAAAAAAAAAAAGATCTAATGCACCCTCTTTTTCTTTAAGTGGAGTCCTCTCATTGGTTTTCACTAGAATCCTTGTTACCGTACTTCCTCGCCATTCCACTACCGTATTTTTACCCTTCTCTCCTTCTACAACATTAATGAAATTATCTGGCACATTCGAAAAATCTGTGCCTGGCTCCAAACATCTTACCTGCCCGTTAAAAGGCTAGTAGTAGTTAGAGGGTGAATCTGTCTCGAAAGGCAAACATACCATTGAACTTGTAACCTACGACCTTTGCGAAATGGGATCCTTATCAAGATTTACCAAGTATCTTCCTTGCTTTGTATCAAAGCCTCTGATGAGGTATGAAGAAGAACCTAAGCCCTCTTTCGATAAAAATCCGAGGTGTGTTGCCAAAGGAGGATAGTGCAGTAAAAGAGCCAGAGATAAAGAAAGCCGGTAATACGAAGTACGGTAAACTTGGCGTCTGTATAATGATGATGCCCCGTACTTGCCCAGAAAGAGACGAGAGTGTACTGCGTTGGGAAGGTCTGCTGAAGAACGACTTTCGGTGTTCAACCTTAATAGTCGAATTGAGTGCACAGCCTGACAGCCTGAGTTGAACAGTTCAAACCCAGCGTAGGAGCGGTCAAGGAAATTGTTTCGCGCACTATGTACAGTGGCAGTTGACCGGAAGACCCTTTGGTGGCGTGTTTTGTGCAATCCTGAGCTGTAATCAGTATCATGCGAATCATAAGCTAGCCTAGAGCAGGGGATAGGCACCTTATTCGTGGCAAAATCCTTCTCAACGTGCCGATGCACCACAAGTCCGAAGAGTAAGAAACGACTCAGTGTTGCTGTTACAAAGCAGAAGAGTGAAGCTGATGGCGAGGCTCAGAAAAGTGCGGGGCACTTGACCTAGATGCCCCGCCAAAGTTTTCTAATGACGGCGGGGTCTCCTGACCCACGACCGCTGGCATTCATCTACGGAACACAGGTCCACTTTGCACTGCTGATTAAAGGAACAATTGCGTTGGGCCGCTACGCATCTTGCGCGTGTCGGACACTACGAAGCAGAGCAAGGCTACCGGGCGCGTCAAAGGCGCGCAGAGTCCTGCTTTGCTGTATTGTGCTGAACGCTGGCAGTGCTGGTCGTCAACATGTCCATATTGCGAGCGTAAGCCAGGCCGTGTGTGTAAGAGCGCGTGCAACAGGGAGGCGCGTGCGGAAGCTCGTGCCCCGCGCTACTGCTTACTAGTACTAGTAAGTTAGCTTCGGCAGTCCAATCAGGGCGGAGCACATTCACTGCTGGAAGTGCTGGATGCGTCGTGCGACTACGATGACTCTCCCGAGCAAACCAGAAATAGCGTCAAGGCTGTTCCAAGGGTGGCCGGCCAAGGTAACACCAACATTGAAGGGTTACTGGAGACCGTCGAGAGCGGGTGGTCTTCGCGAACAGTGGGACCCGCCCCTGGTGCACCGCTGTCAGCCGAGTGCGTCGGATAAGCTGTGTACTTGGTACAGCGTATGACTCACCAAGGCAAGCACATAGGAAAACAAGCAGCCTCAGTGGTGCGGCAGTCGAGGCAGTTAGAACAAAGGTAGCAGATGTTGCAGCCGCTCAGAGGGTAAATGGACGTGTTATAAGCTTGTGGAAGCGGGCTGCAACGATCGTCTCCGCTTTTGCAATGTACCTGCAGGTGCGTAGCACATTGTCACTAACAGAGCCGCTGCTAGCTCGTACCCCGCAAGATAGTACACAGCTCAATCACACATATCATCTCACATCCCGGGAGAGCGTAGGTGGTGCCGATTGGACATGTACAGTCTGCCGATGCTATTCTGATGAGGATAAGGTACTATGACATTTCGCCCGCTTTTCTTTTTGGTGCTTTCCGCGCTTTCGTGTGTACTTTGGGTTGAGACGGTCTCGGGTGCACCTGCGGCTGCGACGGCATCACCAACTGGCTGTCGGCGAGCGGGATTGGCTTATTCGCACGCTCTTTTATACCCTGCTGTCCAAGCTCCCAGTGCAACTCTTCGGCGGCATTTGCGGGTATACCAACCATTACACCGATCTCATGCCACAGTTTAAGACTTTGACTAGCACAACAGTTAGTGTCGTTTTCAAGTGCACGTGTAGAGATGTGTCCCATACGAAATTAGCAAATAGTGCTAGGGTATGTTGAAGGCCAACGACATAGGGCCGAAGTAAACGAATGACAGAACTTGAAGCTGTCTAGACACACGCGATGATCTAGTACGACATACCTAGTATAGAGTCTTGCCAACTTGTCTCTTACCTCTTCGCCATAAGAGTGTGCTTTCTCGAGGTAGTTTTGGTACCGTAGTCGGCAGGCGAGATCGGTTCTTCCAGGTATTCTTTTTGCAATTTCATGCCACTTCATATTTGAGCCCCGCAGCTCGATCACCAATTTATCATCCTCCTTCGTCCATAGAAGTGGTTTCTTGGCTGTTTTTTTGTCGGGTAGCTGATGTTGAGGTGCTTGAATTGCTTCTCCATTCAGTGTTGAAGGGACTGATTGATCAGTATTTTGCGTGTGGCAAGGCAGTGAAGGTCTATGTGAGCCAGGGTAGGGTGAGGAACAACACCAACTTCGAGTTTTTCTAGAATAGGTGTATTTTAACTCTATATATACAAACAAACCACAAGAAATCGATTGCAACTACTTTCAAAACGGGCAACCCACGCGCTGTGCCGATAGAAGCTTCCTAAGCAGAGAGTTTCTAACA